TTTTCACCGCCGAGGGAAGCGGACTGTTGCCATGATCCGTCAGTGAATAGCGAACTTGACAAGTCAGAGCATGCGCATACTGACCTTTTTCATAGTGTTCCAAGGCCCATCTATGGCGGCTCGATTCATGCCAGAAGCTCGCGCCTTCGCGGCATGCCTTTTCAGACCTGCGCCAGGGAACCAAGAAGGCATGCGCTGCACTACGGGGTCATTGATAGGAAGCCGAGATGCCTGTGAGTAAAGCATCGAGAAGCTCACGGAAAGGGAAGTAGTCGAGGAGTGCTCCGCTGAACGATACCCCGAGGTTTACGAGATACACTGTATTCTCCGCGACATGCACATAAGGGTCCTTGGGATCATCGAGATCGGCACCATATGCGATACGCATGATGACCTTCCCTGTCATGCTGATGGTCGAGGTCAGCTCGCGGACCGATAGGCGCACGACTCAAGATGCGTACTGCTTAATGTTATCCCTGAAGTTGTCCGGCTCCGCCACAAGCGTACGCAGGAGTGCATGGACTGCCGTATGCTGCAGACCTTGATACCTGGCAAGTATGTCTGGTCTGAACTCTTCCTGGAAAGTCTTGCGAAGAAGGCGCCATGTAGACCCGTAGGGCACGACGTCGAAGATCCATTCGACGCCAAAGCTGCGCGTTAATAACTTGTTAAGCGTCACGATGCAGATTGAGGATGAAGCAGGCGTACATGCGCAGTCCAGTGAAAGGAGGTCTTCGGTGCACGTATCAGCGATGCGCAAGCGACCGGGCGTAAGACACATACCTATCACTGTACATTGTCGAACGCTTCTCGAACAACTCGTTCGCTGCACGGGCGGTATTCACTACGATTGTATGGGTCCCGAACGCTTCATAATGTATGATATCGGAGCCTGTACTGCGATTAGCTCACGGACGGTACTCTTCAATGCACATAACGAACCGTATTGGTTACTCCAGTCTCGATACGTGATCCACTCGTACGTCTTCTGTACATCGAAGAGATTACCGAACAATGGCACGCCAGGCGGTCCCGGCGGAAGTGGCAGACCAGCACGTGCCTTCTTGGCCCTATACCGCCGCCACAGTATCGTTGCAGAGAGCACTAGAAAGACACAAAGTGCGTCGAAGACTACGTTCACCATTGCCGATCCGCGAGAGCGTTCACGCGTCGAGAGGGTTGCAAACATCTTATACGCCACGAACCTGTCAATCCAACAGCTACTGACGTATAGAGGCTCTAACCTCACACGATTGAAGCCACGGGTCAGGTCATCACATCTTAACCGCTTGCTTATTGCTGACAGGCTCTTGTCGCCCTTATCGCCCAGCGCCTGAC